TGATCAGCAACTATACCTCAGAATAATTTGTCATATATATATATATATATATAGTTTTGTTTGTTTGTTTCTTCCTCGCAGAGAAAATGGGCGTGAACACATTCAGGTCAGTTTAAGTTTCTCTTATCTAGCTGCAGTAACGACACGACTGAAACTGAATATTTTCTCCATTTTTTTAAAAGAAAAGAAAGAAAGAAAAAAGCTTTTACATTATTGTCTTCTTTTGACAAATTATTCTGTGGTTTAGTTTCTGAAAAAACAATAAATACAAGTAAACGTTTAGAGATAGCGCGAAAGCTGCTATATTTCCAGCAAATAGTCCGAGCCCTGACAGCATTGTTAAGATCTATCACAGCCTCAGTATTTCACCGACTGCTTCCAAGTTAAAACCGCTCGGATATGTTCGCAAAATCGAAAAAAAAAAAAAAATGGTTTCTTCTGCTTCTTTTCACCTACGGACATTTGCGTTCGCTCTTCTTCTTAGTGGCTAGAGGCAAGAAATGTACAAACCGGTGAAGCGAGTGCTAACAAGCTAATGATGACATACCGATCACCTCGTGTAGCTCATAATCATCTCTATTGATGGACCAGGGTTGGGAACTCAGGTCCTCCGACATGATGGCTGAAGAATCCGCCGAGGTCCGACTATCTGTGGCGGTGCGGTGAATCCGGAGAACAAGTCAAAGTAATCCAAACAGAGCCGGCGAGGACGACACTTCCCCTTCCTTGCGAATCCTGCAGCACTCCTGTCATTCCCAAAGTTTGACACAAGCCTTGGCAGCCCCGCCTACCGCATTCCTCGCGAGCAAATGTGGACCTTTGAAGCCAGAAGCGGCGTAGCTACCGGATCCAAGCCTCGCCAGGAAGGCTCTGGGGGCCTGCGCTTAAAGATGACGTTTCACGTTCTGATTGGCTGGACATACGCACTTACGTAAGAATAACTGAATATCTTTAGATAAATCTTTATATTAAATAAACCCAACACAACTCAATTCAGGGATGAAATGAAGCTCTACTTTATGACACTAACAAATCTAAAAGGTATAAGAACAGGTTATTATGTTTTGCCTGTTTTTTTTTCTCATTCTTGATTTACATAAACGTCATTAAGTTTTTGTTTTTATATGCATGCAGTCTAAATAAAGATTGGCAAACGATACAACTATTGTCTTAATATGACAATATGTCTCTTAACTCTTTTTAATAGATTCTAGTTGGAGTACGCAAACACTTAAAATATTTGTGGTTATCTTTTTTTTTTCCCGAGCAATAGACGCCAAACAAATTTAATAATCAGACAATATTCACTTTTCAAAATCAGCACTTGCCTGTGCATACCTAATCAATATCAAGTTGGAAATGTAGATCTATTACAAGCTCACTGTAGCCCACAACTTAGGCTTTTTAAGTGAGAATTATCTCCAATATATATATATATATATATATATATATATATATATATATATAGATATATATAAATATAAATATATATATATATATATATAATCTGCATCAGCTGTAAAAATCAAAACTCATATCTGTCAACCTCTATTTCTTGATGCATGTGTTTGCATTATGATATATTAAAAAAAACTATATGAGCTAGGTTTTAACTTTGTTTAAATTACAGCTTTTAAACTTTAATTTTGTTATAATTCATTTGACTGAAAAAAAAACCCTCACCCTTCCATCTTAAAAAAAAAAAGTTTTTTGAAATTATAAATATACATAGATTTCCCATTTTAATCTTTGACTTCGTATGTTTAAACTGATTACAGTGTTTCTATATCTATATCTGAAGTTTGAAGGCTGTTTATATGTTACTTTCTAATACAGTGGGGCTTATTGTTGATAATGCAAAAATCCAAAAGTACTGAATTGTAGTTTATACTTTTATGAGGCATCCATAAACAGCTTATTTTAGCAACACACACTTCTCCCTGCATTACATGGCACCAACAGGCTGGAAGGTGCTAAAATCTGTCATTACATGTGAAAACAGACACAGCCATGTCTTTTTTTTTTTTTTAACGCAACAGTTTCGTTATAGTTTCTAAATCATGTTTTTGTTTTTTATTATTATTATTGTTATTATTTACGTAGTTTTAAAGCAAAGACACTGGAACTATAGTTTTTTTTAATTCTCACTGCAGGGCAAGTGAGTTCAGTAGAGACCCCTGCTGGTGGTTAATGTTACTACACCCAACACTTTGAAACAACTTCAGGACATTGTGTGCTCATGACTGTACACGAGCATTTTAAACAACAGAACACACCTTTTTTTTTTTTTTAAAAAGTGCATTCATTTTATTTGACTTTTTTGCTAAAATATTTAAGGCCATTTGTTTAATACAGTAAAATGCATTCTTAGATTTAAAAAAAGGTGGGGACTAGTGCTTTACAAAACTAAGCATGTGAAAGTATCAGTCAAAATATCGCTTCCTCCTTGGATATAATCTCATCTAAATGTCGACTCAACAGAGGAAGTATCTCCCACATGCACACGTAAAACTCTGCAGAAATGTTGGAATGTGCTGTGTTTCATATAAACCAATTCCTACATAACAAAAAAGGTGATAAGCTCATCTTATGCAACTTTTGTAACATATTGAGAACTTAACTGACATTCTTGTAGGTTAAAAATATCGATATATATTAAAAATACAAGTATTCAATAAAAAAAAGGATATAGAAGCAGTCAAACATGCAGTAAAATCAGAGTTCAGAGCCAGCACGGCAGGGGTTTTGGCATGGTTCGACATGATTTTTTTTTTTAAACTTAAAAAGTTCAGTTGATTTCCTGGTCTGTGATTACGGCAGCGAGAGAGCCTTGGCGAGCCGTGCCCAAAACCAGGACTGTGTGCAGGGCCGGGTGTAATCGCATACTGTCAGGAAGCGCAAGATGCTGGGGAATGGCTTTGACATCGACTTGTAGATGACTGGAATTAGACGTTTACTCCGAGCACCTGAGGAGGAGTTCAAAATGTGTCACTTTTTCTCGCACGTCTCAAAAAAGGAGCACCGAGCTGTTTACATGGATAAAACTCGGCTTTACCTGGGCAGAGGCTGAGAGCAAACTTGGTTTGAAAGTCACAGGCATCGCTGTCGAGGTATTCATCAGAAATCACCACCACCATTCTCTTACACCTGCACAGATGAACAGGAAAATAGCTCTTTCTATATCCAAATAAAAACCATTTAGAGTCACACTAGTTATCACTGAGACTTACTAGTCGTGACAACAGTTTCAGAGTCGCAGTGTACATGCACTGTTGCATTCTTTGAAATTAATCGCAAATCAAAGTTGTCACCTCCTCTCGATGAGTTCACTGGTGATGGTCCAAACACACGAGCCCGGCAGGACGTCCCTGTCGAACACGCACAGCTTCAGCTTGTTCTCCGTCTGCTCCAGCTCCCGGATCATCTCGTGGACGAACTCAAAGTCGCTCTGGCAGTAGCAGATGAAGGCGTCAAACAGCTCCGGAGTGCCTGGGTTTCAAACAGCACAAACAGAAGTCAACATTTACAACAAGGGACGGCAGTATGAAAAGACGATGCGCAACCCTGGACCACATCCTACACAACTCGCTTCGCAGTAAAACAAATGCCAAGAAAACCATCTAATGGGGCAGGAACGAGAAATGAAGCAGTAGCACAAACGTGGTTAAAAGTTAAGATAAATCGACAAAACGTGAACCAAACCTATAAGTTGTTTTTTTTCCCCTGTGGTACTCCTCCACAGGCAACAAAGTGTTTCGATTGTGCGAGTGCATTGTCAAACAGAGGCTCTACACTACGAACTACAAAAAGACATTTTTATTATAACAACGAAATAACGTTTTGTTTCCAAAAGGCACTTTCTTAAACTACTACCTTATTATAAGCATGTGGATTTAATATCAAATGCTCAATTTATTAATTAAATAACTTTTTTTGGTTGTGTACGATGCCAATTTTAAATTGCCACAATTGTTTTTACTCAACTGCTAATAAAAATGGAGTAAAATGGCAGTGTTTATCCAGTTACTGAAGCATGTCTAACTACTATGTAGAAATTCTAACCTTCTGGGTCATCGTCCAAGGTGATACCCAACCTCTCAGGGGTGCGAGGGACACAGCTGTCCACCTCAGGAACTTGAACCGGGGGCTCGCTTTTCTTCTTCAGACTCTCACAGTACTTTCGGACATCTTCGTCTGGTGTCAAAACACACATTCATTTCAAAATTATCATAAGTCACAGGTAAAAAATGAATACATTTTACAATAACCTGGCATTATTTTTGTTAGACTAACACATTTTCTGTTAGAATTATGTTATAAGGACATCATGAATCTGATATTAATGACTTTTGAATCGGAGCAAATGCTTTGGAGCTTTCCTTCTTCTCATCACGACTAATCTATTTTTGCAAAAAGAGCATTGTTATTGCAAAAAACTGAAATATGCCTAATTCTGGCTTCTTGGGATGCTAATTTTAAACAAATAAAAGCATGGGACTCCTTCAAGGTGTGCATGTCACCCACTGCGTTTCCTTAGACTGAAATCATCTTTAGAAGTCAAGTTGCAGCTGCTTTTGGTCAAACTGTGTGAAATCTTGTGATATTGCATGAAGTCGTGTTGTAAATTATTTGAAATAGATAAAATAGTCTTAAACGGGCCAGTTTATTTGTTTCTCATGAGTTGGATCCTCAACACCACCTGTCAATCAATCCTGTAGGCTTGTCAGCAACTGACCACTCGGCGACCTCAATTTGGCCTGAAGGGAAATGTTTACCTGCAGGAACACCCACTTTTCCTCCGACAACACTGTCGGGCTTTTGCAATACAAACGCTTTGCAGTCATAGGTTAACAGTTAAATTAAAAGATTAATGCTATAATAGTTGTGCTTTGTTTTTTTATGTTGCAACTTCTGTAAGTTTAGTCTCTGTTTGCTGTGATCCTTTAAAAGTCCTATTTGTGACTCAGCTCGTTTATAGCCATACCACCCTGAATACGCCCGATTTCGTCTGGTCTATGAAGCTAAGCAGGGTCGGGACTGGTTACCACTTGGATGGGAGACCGCCTGAGAATACCAGGTGCTGTAAGCTGTTGCACTTCTCACTAACTTCACCATGAGCCTAGTTGCCAAGTCCACTTATTATAAGCGACTTTGGGCTCGTTTTTTCGAAAGTCGCTTGTAAATCTTGTGAGTCGCGGCTTTTTGGGCTTGTTTTGAACGTGAAGTTGCTTATTTGGGCTTTACTTTCTTTCCGAGTGAAACTAGTTGAGCAGCTCCGCACAATAAAGCAAAATACGAGTGGTAGTTGGTAGTTTGTCCCTTCCACGCCCCCGTTTCCTGTTTACAGACGCACACATACATAGACATATACAAAAACATGTGTGCTGCACCCCAAACACTCATACTACAGCTGACCACTAGGGGGCTCCACTCACACAAAGATTTTATTTTATATTTTTATTAAACAATTGAACACACTAATAGAATAAATGACAACCTCAGATTCCAATGATACATATAAACATGTAAAACTATCTACTGTCATACCTCCTAAATTCAACATATTCTTTAAAAAAAATTACCATAACAACCATCATAAAATACAATTAAAGTAATATTATTAAAGAGATTGCACATAATATGGTACAAGTAAATAAAAAACACAACTATATATTTAGCATTCTACATAATTTCTAAAATAATTTGTCAGCGGGCTACCTTATCCGAGCGAGGTGATCAGAGAGATTTGTTGCATGTGGTTTTTTTAGCACTGTCCAATGAAAGTTTGAACATCTGGAGTTCTTGTATGAATACAGACCATAACGGCTTAGACTTGCCATATCTGCATTTATATATATATATATATATATATATATATATATATATATATATATATGCTTCCTTCACTAACATGAAACAAGATGGCGCCAGTGTTTGAGGCTCGCTGTCTGCTGCTCCTACTATTTTTTCTGTTGTCTATTTTTATCCTCAATGCAAGTGTAAACGCTCGGATTGTCTATGATCGCCAAAAATTGCTAGATATTGGAGCTTCGATTGGAGCCTCGACTGGTAATATGTTATCGTGGAATCCTACTAGTGGAAAAACCCCGCCCTTGTTGCTGGGCATTCCAGCTTACCTGTGTCGCTTCTGGCCTCTACCTTTTCGACGGAAGTGCCGTGGCAAACGTGGCGGCTGGTTGTTGCGTTTCAAGGCTGCTTTGGGGCATCGATGTCCAGACCCATTCAATGTTCGTGGGCGGGTGCCGCGCCTCTACTTCCCGTTACGTGCGTTGGATCCTGTGGGTACCTGTTTGGTGCCTGTTGATGGAGGCCATGATGGACTGTTCCAGCCCCGTTTTCCCTGCACTCCTCGGCCCTATAGACGTGTGGTGAATCTTCACAACCTGCGACCTCTTCGCCGGGAATCTCGGACGTCAGATGGTGGCGGAGATCCGCCAATCTCTGCCAGGATCGGTCTGATAAATGCTAGGTGGCTAGCAAACAAAACCTTCGCCATTAAGGATTACTTTTCCTCTCAAAGCCTGGATTTCTTATTCATAACGGAATCTTGGACAACTGGTATGGGTGAGTCCAGCGTTTTTAATGAACTCTTGCCGCAAAACTGCTACTATTTCAATTTTCCAAGGATGTCTGGATGAGGAGGAGGAATAGTAACGGTTTTTAAAAGCTGTTTTACTTGTAAACAGTTGTATCCAGTCCGTTTTGGTAGCTTTGAGCTTGGTCTCTTTGAACTTCTTAGCTCCCACACAGTGTTGTGTGCGGTGGTCTATCGGCCTCCTAAATATAACAAAAATTTTATAAGTGATTTTTCTGATTTCTTGGCTGATATCATGCCACGATATGACAGAGTTTTATTGGTTGGTGATTTTAATATTCGTATCTGTTGTCCTACTTCACCTATGGCTCAGTCGTTTCTTAATGTTATTGAGTCTTTTAATCTTGTGCAGTCTGTAACTGGTGCTACCCATGAGCATGGACACACTCTTGACTTGGTTTTATCTTATGGTCTACCAGTTTTTAATTTAGTGATTGGTGACCCATTATTTTCAGACCATATGCCTGTTTTATTTGAGATAAAGCAGTCTATTACTAAGGTTAAACCATGTGCACCAGTTCGGTTCTGTCGTGTTCTTAACCCTTCTACTGCTGTTCAGTTTTCTTCTGTTTTTAATAAGAACTGTACAATCCCAGAGACTGTCAGAAATAAAACCGAGGATATCAGCAACTGGTTTTATTCTACTAGCAAAGCAGCTCTGGATTCGGTGGCACCGTTAAAAACTAGACTTGCAAAATCCAAACATGAACCCTGGTTAAATGACGACACTCGGGCTGCCAGGAGGAACTGTCGTAAAGCTGAACGAAAATGGCAAAAGGATAATTTGCAGGTGTCGCTGCAAATATTGAAGGAATGCTGGCGCTGTTATCAAAGGATTGTAAAAGACGCTAAGATACCTGACAAATATAATTGTATCAAACAGTTGCAATCCAGCTATTTTATTTAAAACTATTAACTCTGTTCTAAATGCCCCACATGGTGCTTTTGTGGAGACTTCCCCTGCTGTTTGTGAAAGCTTTTTAAACTTTTTTGTTGAGAAAGTCACTTCTATTAGGGCACAGATCATACCCATTGTGTATGACCCTATTGATACTGTGTCTTGCCCTGCTGTTTTTAATAGCTTTGAATGTGTGACTTTGCAATCCCTGCAGGAGGTCGTTAGTCACTTGAAGCCAACTGGTTCTCCAGATGATGCTATTCCACCTCGACTGTTCAATGAGGTTTTTCATACTATAGGTCTGTCGATCCTTGCTCTTGTTAATAGTAGCTTGTCCTCAGGTGTTGTTCCTGAAAATCTGAAACATGCAGTTGTCCAGCCTCTAATTAAGAAATCAAATTTGGATCCTGCTGTCCTAGCGAACTACAGACCAATTTCAAAATTGCCTTTCATCTCGAAAATTCTTGAGAAGGTAGTTTATAAGCAACTAATGTCCTATCTCATTGAACATAATATTTTAGAGATTTTCCAATCTGGTTTTAGATCACTTCATAGCACAGAGTCAGCTCTCTTAAAAGTTTTTAACGATATATTTTGGGCAACTGATTCTGGTGACTGTGTTGTTTTGGTGTTGTTGGATTTATCAGCTGCTTTTGACACAGTTGATCACAGGATTTTAATTGCTCGTCTGGAACAATATGTGGGCCTTGGTCAAACAGCTCTAGACTGGTTTAAGTCTTATTTGACAAAACACACTTTTTGTGTCTGTCTTGATGGCAATAGATCATCCTCTGCTCCTCTATCATGTGGTGTTCCGCAGGGCTCAGTCTTGGGTCCTCTTTTGTTCTTACTGTATCTCCTTCCTCTTGGCTCTGTTTTTAGGAAATACGGGATTGCTTTTCATTGTTATGCTGATGACACACAGATTTATTTACCTTTAAAGAAAGCAGATTCCACTTCTCTTCGGTCTCTGTTTCTATGTTTGGAGGATTTGAAGGCATGGATGGCCCAAAATTTCTTGAAATTAAATGAAGACAAGACAGAGGTAGTGATTTTTGGCAGCTCGAATGAAGACTCTCTGCCTGTTGATTGCTCTTTGGCTCAGTATGTCAGGCCAGTTGTTACAAATTTAGGGGTCAAGATGGATGCTGGTCTTAGGATGGAGTCTCAAATTAAAACAGTTGTAAAGTCAGGCTTTTTTCATTTGAGGCAGCTGGCTAAAGTAAAACCAATTCTTCCCAGACAGCATTTTGAAACAGCAATCCATGCATTTGTGACCACACGGCTAGATTACTGCAATGCACTTTACATAGGTATTAGTGATTCATGTATTTCCCAGCTTCAGAGGGTTCAGAATGCAGCTGCACGACTTTTAACAGGTACACGGAAATTTGACAGTATTTCTCCTGTTTTGGCCTCTTTACATTGGTTGCCGGTGCATTACCGGATTCATTTTAAAATACTTTTATTTGTTTTTAAAGCTTTAAATGGCCATGCCCCTCCATACCTGTCTGAGCTGCTACATTCTTACACACCCTCTCGTTCACTCAGGTCAGCTGACCAGTTGTTTCTGAAGGTCCCGAAGACAAAGCGTAAGCTTAGAGGGGACCGAGCTTTTTCTGTGATAGCTCCCAGGCTCTGGAATGACCTTCCATTGAACATAAGACAGGCCTCTTCAATTGAGGTTTTTAAGTCCCTTCTTAAAACTCATCTTTTTTCTTTGGCCTTTTAGCACAATCTGAGATGTTTTACCTTGTTTTATTGTGTTTGTATTTTATTTATTCTATTCCTGTTTTAAATTTTACCCTTCCATTTTATCATTGTATTGTATTATATAATTGTGTAAAGCACTTTGGTCCTGTTGGGTGCATAAAGTGCTCTATAAATAAAGTTGGTATGGTATATATATATATATATATATATATATATATATATATAATTTTAGTATTATGATGGTTATTAAAAAAGTATTCATCTTCTTTTATTTTCAGATACATATCCATATAAAACATTTTGAAGAGAGGAGGAGTTCATGTTCATGGACAGAAATAAAACAGATGTTCTGTTGTTTCAGGTTCGTTACATATAGAACAGTTACTGCATTCAAAATTAAATCGATTTCAGATAAACTCGTTTGAAGGATAAATATTATTTAGAATTTTGAAATGCAATTCTTTATATTTAGGTGGAAGAGGGAAACCCAGATATTTTTGTCCTTATTTTTATTCTTTCCTTCTTATCATAGAAATCGTGAAACCTTCTTCTTACCTGACCCACTCACACAAAGATGTCAGGATAAAAATATGCAGAAAAAAAAATTACACATGCAAAATGTATTTCTTTTAAGCAAAGCTCAAATGTATGTTATTCAAGGTGTTTATCATAATTTTGCTGTTTATGTGTAATGCCATAATAAACGTATGTTTATACTAGGGGTGTAACGGTACATGTTCGTGTACTGAACCGTTTCGGTTACTTTTTCATTAATTAAATTTTATTAACGAGAGATTATGTGCTGCGGAACTAAAGTTCCTAAGCGTGTTTCAGCACGACGTTTTAGTCTCGCAACACGCGCAGCATTAGCATTCTAGCTTCTCGTTGCGGTCTCCTGTTTGGGAACATTACGGCTTTCTTGTTAAAAGTGAACAAATCCAAAGCTGCGTGTCGACGTTGTTTCACGGAGACCGGATCTGCAGCAGCAACACGTCTAACTTGTTAACGCGCTGGAAACGACATCATCCAAACGTGAACGTCTCTTCTAGCAGCTTGGAGCAAAGAGCGATAACAGCAGCATTTAAACAACCTGCATCAGGTCATTCAGATCAGTCCAAAGCAATAACACAAGTAGGAGTTTTTAAAGCTCTGGAACTACGTCCAAATGTTGTTGATGCACCGACCTTAAAGTTATTGAGCTCCGCTACAACATCCATCACGCCAAAACTTCACCTTTTTTTATTGTAATTTTATTAACTCGTCTTGTTTTCACCTCTGTGTTTTATTTCCTGTCTGGGACAGAGATAGCAGCTGAGTCTTCCTCTTCAGGGAAATCCACCAGAGATCACCTCCAGCTACGAAGTCTGTGATGAGTGAACTCTGAACTTTTCCAGGGACCTGTCTCACCTGTGGGAGCAGGTCCAAGAGGTTGTGAGTAATGACACACTGCGAAATTAGCAAAGTGCTACCTCTCTATTAGCAAAGTGCTACCTCTCTATT